ACTCAATCTGATGGTGCCTTGATCTTGGACATCTCGGCCTCCAGAACTGTGAAAAATACATTTCTATTATTTATAAATTACCCAGTCTGTGGCATTTTATCATAGGAGCAGGAACGGACTAACACAATCACCTAAAGCTCAACTTTAGTGTTAGTTGCAGCAGGGAGGAATCTTGCAAATTCTTATTGATATATGACAATAGATATTTAGAAGCTGAGAAGCTGAGTAATTTCTCACACGTTTAGGTGTAAGTTACAAATTAGTCTTGCTTTTGATACACAGCTACTCCATGAGTTTGCCCTAACCGCTCCCAGGCAAGTCATATTCCTTTGAGAAGTCTCAATTGGCAAAAGTTCTTTTTCTTAATGCCTCTTGTAAAAACTATCAATTTTAAAAACATGCTTTTTGTGAAAACCATCAATACAATTTCTTTTTTTTTTTTTTTTCAGACAGAGTTTCACTCTTGTCACCCAGACTGGAGTGTAGTGTTGTGATCTTGGCTCACTGCAACCTCCCTATCCTGGGTTCAAGCAATTCTCCTGCCTCAGCCTCCTGAGTAGCTGGGTTTACAGGCACCTGCCACCATGCCCAGCTAATTTTTGTGTTTTTAGTAGAGATGGGGTTTCACCATGTTGACGAGGTTGGTCCTGAACTTTTGATCTAGGTGATCTACGCACCTTGGCCTCCCAAAGTGCTGGGATTACAGGTATGAGCCACTGCTCCTGGCCAAGATTCTTGAATGTGTGATTAGTATTTACGGAAACTGACCCTGTCTATAATTTTCTGCCTTTCTTACCTACAAGTCATGAATTATATTTATGAACCGAATGTTAGAAAAATCTATGTGTCATTTATTCATTCACTCATTAATTCATCTCTAAGTGCCCAGTAGGTGCTATGTACTGTGCTAAGAGATGAGGATAAATAAAATGGTGAGCAAAAATGGACACTGTTGACCGGACTCGGTGGTTCACGCCTGTAATCCCAGCACTCTGGGAGGCCGAGGCGGGCGGATCACCTGAGGTTGGGAGTTCGAGATCAGCCTGACCGACATGGAGAAACCCCGCCCTACTTGGCCATCGATCCTTGACATTCGTTGCAGCTAGTTCACTCCAATGTCTTCCTCTCTTGTCACATGGCTTTCTCCCTGTGGATCTGTGTCTCCTTATAAGAGCAGCAGTCCCATTGGATTAGGGACCCATCCTACGGTATTAGTACACTCTACCGAAAATACAAAAATTAGCCTGGCGTGGTGGCACATGCCTGTAATCCCAGCTACTTGGGAGGCTGAGGCAGGAGAATCGCTTGAACCTGGAAGGCGGAGGTTGCGGTGAGCCAAGACTGCACCATTGCACTCCAGCCTGGACAACAAGAACGAAACTCCATCTCAAAAAAAAAAAAAAAAAAGACACTGTTCTTGCCTTCCAGGAATTTTCAGTGTTGTGGAGTAGAAGACAGTCATCCAACAAGCAGATAAATGCAAAGCTACAGCTGTGACGAGAGTAGCAAATAAGAAGTGGTGTTATAAAATTTTGTGAAATGAAAGGAATTTGACTTTGTCTGGGGGTGGAGTCATTTAAGAAAGGCATCCCCATCGGACAAGGGAGCCAAGATCTGGAGGTGAAATGAGAGTAGAGGTTGGAGTGGGGAAGGGGAAGATATTCCAAGCAGGGGGAAGTGTAAAACACCTCAACAAAATCCTGTGGCAAGAGGCAACCTGGACCATTTGAAACAGGCCTGTGCAGATGGAGTAAAAAAAATAGGGCAAAGGGTGATAGGAGAGAAAGCCAGAGTGGGAGGCACAGGCCTGGCTGAAGAGCATCTCAAAGCCTGTCGTGGGTTGGAATGTGTCCCTCCAAAAAGATGAAGTAGAGTCCTGTCTGCCAGTATTTCTGAACAGGACCTTATTTGGAAACAGGGTCATTGCACATGTAATTAGGGAAGATGAGGTCATACTGTAGGGTGGGTTCCTAATCCAGTGGGACTGGTGTTCTTATAAGAAGACACAGATCGCCAGGCGCGGTGGCTCACGCCTGTAATCCCAGCACTTTGGGAGGCCAAGGCAGGCAGATCATGAAGTCAGGAGATCGAGACCATCCTGGCTCACATGATAAAACCCCGTCTCTTCTAAAAAATACAAAAAATTAACCCGGCGTGGTGGTGGGTGCCTGTAGTCCCAGCTACTCGGGAGGCTGAGGCAGGAGAATGGCGTGAACCTGGGAGGCGGAGCTTGCAGTGAGTCGAGATCATGCCACTGCATTCCAGCCTGACTCCATCTCAAAAAAAAAGAAGACTCAGATCCACAGGGAGAAGGCCATGTGACAACAGAGGAAGACACTGGAGTGAACTAGCTGCAAGGAATGTCAAGGATCGATGGCCAAGTAGGGCGAGGCAAGGAAAGACTCTCCCCTCCAGAAGAAGGTGGCTCTCCCGACACCTTGATTCTGGACTTCTAGCCCCCAGAACTGTTAGGAAATAAATTTCTGTTGTTTTAAGTCACACAGTTGGTTGTACCAGGCTATGCAGTGGCAATTATCACGAAGGCTAGTCGGTTTCGGTCTTCTGCCTCAGCACCGAGTAGCTGGGACTACAGGAAGGCAAGCCGGAGGTGTTTTTGTATTTAGTAGGACGGGGTTCACTGTGTTGCCAGGATGGGCGCGATCTCCGCCTGTGATCCGCCCGTTCGGGCCAACGGGCGGATTACAGGCTGAGACGCGCCCAATCTGGTTAACACAGTGGTTGTACTGGCTATACTAAAAATAAAAAAAGGCCTAGTAGGTCGGCGCTTTGTCCCAAGCACCAGGAGGCGAGGCAAGAATTTAAACAAGGAAGGGAGAGCGGAGGGTGTTGGTTGGCTAAGGTGGGGATATGGATGGGAAAAAAAAAAGAATGTGTGCAAGGAGACCAGTTAAGAGGCTTGAGGGAGGGGGATTGCTTAGGAGGCTGCAGGGAGACGAGTTAGCAGTTGATGCGGTTGCCTGGGAGAGAGATGACAGAAGCTTGGAATAGGTGTTAAGGGTAAAGATGAAGCTGAATGAAAGGATTCTGGATCCCTATGGTGAGTGAGATACAGAGGCATGTCAACAATGACTTCAAGGCTTTGGGCTCGCTCAACTGGATGGATGGGGGCACCAATCACCAAGCAAGTGATCCTCGGGGAAGATCTGACTCCACTTAGCACAAGGTCTGACAGCCAGCAGAATGAGTTTCAACGTTCTCAAACACACCACAAAGAAAGTTTCCTTTTGAATTGTAATAAATACACTCTGCAATGCCTTCTGTTTTTACAGAATAATATTTCTGGGAGACCGGTACAAATAAGCACTTGGAAGTTGATCTCTTTCTTATTAATAACTGCCTGATAATTCATTGTGTGGATATAAGATAATTTATTTAACCAATCTATGTATGTATTTATCTTGTTTCCAGATTTTAAATTATTTCGCTGCAAGTTTTAAAAAATTTTCTAGCTTCATCCATTAAAAGAAATACATTTTTACATTGTTTACTATATACACATACAACACACAAATAAACACACACACACAGAGCAAAAAGTTTCACAAAATAGTACTTATCCTACCTATATGTCATTCTATTCTATTCTATTCTATTCTATTCTATTCTATTCTATTCTATTCTATTCCATTCCATTCATTTCCATCCCATCCCATCTAAAAGTAATAGCCATGACCCACTAAATTGATCTAACCACCTACTGACAGGTCACAACCTGCAGTTTGAAAAACACTTTCAATGCATATTTATTAAATGAAAAGGGAAAAGTAGGCCAGGTGCAGGGGCTCACACCTGTAATCCCAGCACTTTAGGAGACCAAAGTGGGAAGATCACTTGAGGTCAGGAATTCAAGACCAGCCTGGCTAACATGGCAAAACCCCGTCTCTACTAAAACTAAAAAAACTAGCCAGGCATGGTGGCAGGCACCTGTAATCCCAGCTACTCGAGAGGCTGAGGCAGGGGAATCACTTGAACCCGGGAGGCGGAGGTTGCAGTGAGCTGAGATTGTGCCACTGCACTCCAGCCTGGGAGACAAGAACAATACTTCGCCTCAAAAAAAAAAAAAAAAAAAGGAAAAGTACTTATTTATACTCCAATACTGTTCTGAACATTTTGTAAGTAATAACTTATTAATCCTTACAATGACAATGTCGCAGTGGGCTAGGAATTATCTCTCCATTTTCCTGATGATGAAACGGAGGCACAGAGAGGTAGACAAGTTACCCAAGGTCACATGCTAGTACGTCGGAGAGCTGTGCTTAAACCCAGGCAGTCTGGCTGCAGTTTATGCTCTTAATCATCAGCCTATGGTATTTCCTCTAGCCTTAGGAATTGATGTGAGACTAACCAGGTATTTAGCAATGCACAGCTCTAAATACCCTCTCCAGTATTTCAGACCACAGCAGGGCAGGTTCCTTTACAAGATAGTCAAACAGGACATAAGTGTATTATTCTGCTATTTATATACCTCGATGGCTATAGAAGCCAAACAAAGACTCCTGAAATTTAATAATCTCCTCCAGAAACTTAGCTTCAGCAACACACACACACATTCTCTCCCTCTCCCTCTCTCTCCCTCTCTCTCTCTGTCTCTCTCCAAAAGCCCCAAACCTTCAAGCTCCCAAATAATCAATGATGACCACTCTCAGTGCTGCACTGGACTTAACGATAATATTACAGAGTCACTTCTTATTCAGAGGTAGTGCTCAACTTCCCCATTATTTATTGATTTTCCCCCAAAGTTATCAAGTTCTAAAGCCTAATTATTGGTGTAATAGCTGAGATGTTAAGAGAATTGTAAGCCCCTTTAGCTAATGCATGGCATATGTTGAAGGGATTCAGCTAATTCACATATCTGTCTGCACTATTAATAGAGAAGGTTACATGCCAATTATCCAGGCTTCAATCAGCCTGTTTGGATACAATAGAGGCAGTGTTCACACACTTGATGTGCCACATTCCTTCCCGACATCAGAAGCAGCTGGTCCAGATAAAGACCGCTGGGGTTTTGATATTTAGGAATCACGTCCACGGAAGAGCTGGAGTTGAGACTTGATTGCTTCATGGACAAATTACCTGCAGGTATCTTTAACCTGGACTCTTTTGAAAAATGCCTAGTAGGTTTGCAGTTCACTGGGCTTTACACTTTTCCTGCTCAGACTTGTTGGGTGGGTGGGTGGAGGTGCTGAGGAAGAGGAGAAAGACAAAGGAGCCAATAGCTCCAAGGACAAAGCAGGGAATAATAGGAACGGGCAAATGGATTCCAGTGAAATAAAGAACCCGCACACGTTCTTGTGCCCAGTTTTAGAACCAAACAGGCTAAGACATTTTCCTCCTAAGAGCTCAACTTCGTGCGTTGAAAAATAGGTAGATGGATAAATATCTCTGCATATTTCACCTGCATTATTTTCTTTTTATTTTTTTCCCTTTCCATTTCTTTTTTTCCTCTGATTCAGAAGCTGGACTGGAAGTGTTGTAATATCAGAAAATGCTGCTTCCGGTGGTATTTGTAACCAGGAACAGAAGCTGAAGTGTCTGAAACCACCGGAGAAAGCCCCTGCTCTCCTGAGAGCTGTTCTCTAATTTTGCTGGCAGAGAGCGTTGGATCAGTGATCAGAAAGTTAAAATGGCAGATGTTGGGGCTTCTAGGGGGAGGGGAGGCAGATACCTGATACTCTCCGGCATTTGTTTTTTTATCCTTCCCATTACCTTCCTTTCTCAGATCACAATATTAAAACAGAGCTGTTGTCCACTTTTCTAAGGCCACACAGCCAAATGCTGGCACAACAGCAAACAAACAAACAAAAACAACCAGCCCCAGGACCTGCCTCTCGGACTGTATCGTGACTCTCCTGACATTTCTCCAACACAGCCGCGGACCTCAATACTTTTTACAAATATCACCAAAAGCTAATCAATAACAGGCAGATACCACACGTCAGCCGTTGTTTTGTGTGCTATTTCAGCTCCGCGTGTATTTTTTTCACCCTCACAGATGAAAATACAGTAATTAACTCCATACAGAGGAGGGGGGAATGGAGGGAGGAAACTCCTTTTTTTTTTTTTTTTTCCCTTCCCCTAGACTTGAAAAGAAATTCTGGCAGATAATTTGGCTGAACATGAAAAGGGAGAGGCTGCTTACAGCTGCCCAAATAAAGTGCTAGGTTGGTGAGGCTTTGCGGGCTGAGTTGGGTATTTCACGCCATGAAAAGCAGACATTTATCTGTTCCCATGGAGATGTGATTTCTACTAGTCAATCAGGCACTGGGGAGGTCAGACAATAGCCAGTGGTTCCCTTTTTCATCTCAAGAGACAGTCCATTCCTGTTCTATTGTAACAGTTCACCTACATTGAAAGGAATCCAAATGACTTCTCAGAAATACCTGCAAATGCGGCCATTATATTTTCAAGTGATCAAAATTAGCTGCCTCAGAGGAAGACGGGGCGTGCCCCCCACCCCCAGTTTCAAATCATAGGTTGTTCTAGCACCATCCTTATTTGGATAAGTTTGGCTTCCACACTTGATCCCTCCCTCCTGAATAAAATAATGAATAAGGTCATAAATTACATGTTAAAATTTGGGGAGTGGGCAGAGGGCTTCAAACAGAACATCGCGGGAGCAAGAGAACGCTGCCCAGTAGAGAGCAAAGCCCCGAACGACTGCAAGTTCGATAAACTGTAAACTTTGTTCCTGGTCACAGGACTGGGAACGGCCTGAAGACTACACATGCAGAAATGACTAGGGCTGTTATTTGATCTTCGGTGTTTGCTATCAATCCCAGAAAGCAGAATCATGTCTATTTGCCAAATATGTTTATTTCAGTAGGTGAATTGCAGTGTAAGCACCTAGAAACTAGGATTCACATAAGGACTTGGAAAATGATCTCCTGCATCATTTTCACACATGCCCAAGGCAGAAGAAAATGTGACGGGGCGGGGGGCCTTCTTAAAGCTAATTGAGAAGCAAGAGGCTATTTCCATGGGATCCCATTTTAAAACGCTGTCTGAGCGGCTTTTCCAACTCTCAGAGCATATTTGAGACGCAGACTGTCAAATGTGACTTACACAGAAGGCCGTTCACAGGATGGCAGCGTAACAGAAAACAGCAGACAGGCAAGGCCAGGATTTTATCATTAAGTAACTTCATGCTTGTTAATGGAGTCACTCAAGTGCAGCTCAACTGCGCAAGGCAGGAAAGTAAACACAAATAGGACTCCTGGTTTGCAACCAGCCCGGCCACTACAGTGAGAGAACTGTGACTGTGTTTCCAGCTCCTTGAAGGCAGAGAGGCTCCTGCCTTTCCTGGCGGGCGGGCTGGAACAAAGACACCAACAGGGTCACCTCGGAAAGCCTTTTTGAGCAGTTTCAGCAAATAGCATTTAGGGGAAGGGAAAAAAAACTCCAATGTACCCAATAAAGTACAGCGTAATATCACATTATTGAGGAGCCAAAAGGCAGGGATTTCCCTCAAACGTTTTTGGGAGCTCGGTTTCTCTGGAAAGACAGGGCACGCATTTCTCATGTATCGTGGGCCAGTATTTGACCATTTCCTGTGACCATTTCGTTGTCATATTTTCTCAGTTTAGTTTTTAAAAATTAAAATAGAAGTCATACCTAATCTCTTTAAAATGTTCAAACAGTATAAAATTAAGGTAAAGGTGTTGAAGTTCCTCATTCCTTTTGCTCCATCCCACGTAGCTCATGATCTCACCAGAGATAGCTAATAACTACTTTTTAACGGTGTGAAACATATTTTCCAGACGTTTTCCATAAAATGCACATATACAAATACACATGCTTTGCTTTAAATACACCACTGGAATCATATTTATAGACACTGTTATACAACTTGCTTTTTTCACTTTGAGTATCGATCATGGACAATTTCCAATGTATGTATTTTTTTAGTGAGCTATACATTTTGGGGAACCATGTCATACATGCTCCTGGGGAAAATTCAAATGAAAGGGCTTGTGGGGAAGAGTGGGTCTCCCTCCTCCCCCGCAGACAATGACTCTTAGCAGTTTTTAGTGTATCATGCCAGAAATAGTCCACGCATAGATCAGCATATATGCATATCAAACACTCACACCTTTCGTCTTCACACAAGTATCTTTCAGCTCGCATTTTCCACTTGAATCTCTTAGACAGCACTCTATGTTAGAAAACTTGATGTTTTCAGTGGAGGCATAGTATTTCTTTAAATGGTATTCCTTAATGTATTTCGCTTGCCCTTTTTGACAGACTTTTTGGTGGCTTTCAGTGTTTGCTTCTACAGACAGTGCTACAATAAGTAGTCTGGTGGGTACCCAGTGATTCTCTGCTCAGACACACTCACTGCTTTCTGAAAGCGACTCCTATTACACCACACCTGTCCTAAAGTTGCCGTAATCCAAAGAAAAATGGATCGAATTAACTTCTTTTTTTAAAAACGAGGGTTTTAAGCAGAACATTATTAACCCATTAAAAATCTATGATAAACTCGTGCCCTTTCCTGTGGTTTTTAGTCTCTCCTTCAGTTTGAGAGTAAGAGACTCATGAAAATGAAAAGCAAAAGTCTATCCCGTCCCCACATCCCCACCCCCTATCAGCCATGTCAAGATCACTACATAGCATCCCATGCCTGCTTATTACAAATGCATACTTCACATTGAGTAATTCCTTTCCATCTACTCCTTTCATCTTGGGCTCAGAGAAAGATCGCAGCTCACGCTTACAACTTAGGTACAGATTTCTGCTCTTTTTTTGTGTGCAAGAGTAAAGCCACTGGGGATTTAGAACAAAGTGTGTCCTTGGAAAGAAGTGGGTAGAATTTTGTGTGTGCAGTGGGTGGGGGAGGGGACCCCCTCCCGAGGGAGGAGTTCAATTTCATTATACAGTTGGAAACCCGGTGAAATCATGTATACGACTGGATCTTTTTGCTCAGCGACTGAGGTTTTTTTCTTTGTCTTGCAGTGTGTACAGCAAATTTCTGTTGTGCCTGGGAAGAAGGAAATCTGAGTTAAAGAGGAGGCCCGCTCCATATGCCGTGTCACAAGCACACTCACTGAAACATGAATTCACGAAGAGATTGCAACAAGACCAAAACGAAAGAGGAACAGGGCCTGCCAATGTTCAGAGAAGGAAAACCAAAGAAGTAACCATCCCCGAGTTAAAAATCACGTGGGAATGAAAAAAGTAGATTGCCTGTTGTATTTGTCATTGAAATGCACAATCTTGTTTACTGTTTATCTTGAGACTCTGGGAGCTCTCCTGCTGCTTGGGAAAAAAAAAGAAGCAAAGGTTTAGGAAGAAATACTAGTCATAAGAAAGGGAGGCATTAGAAACCCTACAGAGAATGGGAGGTGTAAATAGTATGTGGGCATTTGGCAATCACCACAAAGAAATGGGAGACAAAGGCAAGTGTCTGATGCCAGAAATCCTAAAAACTTGAGTGGAAAACCCAGACACAAGAAAAATGTCCAAAAGAAAAGAAAAAACACGAAATCCCATGAGATCTTTTTTTTCTCTCTGTGATGTTACCTATTGGAGAAAATAAAGGTGGGTTTTTTTTTTTCTTTTTTCTTTTTTTAATTATTATTATACTTTAAGTTCTAGGGTACTTGTGCATAACGTGCAGGTTTGTTACATATGTATACTTGTGCCATGTTGGTGTGCTGCACCCATCAACTCGTCAGCACCCATCAACTCGTCATTTACATCAGGTATAACTCCCAATGCAATCCCTCCCCCCTCCCCACTCCCCATAAAGGTGGGTTTTGCCACGGTGATCATGGTGCTGTATCCTAAAGGAAGTAGCTTCATGATAAGCCTTCAGAGGCTCTCTCCAGGCCAGCCCCAGCCTTAGGACAAAATGGGACAATCCTGGAGGATAATTTCTTTCTCCAAAAAGGAGGTGAGATGGGGCAGAAGAAACACTGGCAGGGCAGAGTTATTATCTCTCTCCCCAAAAAGTTTAATGAATTGTGGTCATTTGCAGATCTCTGTCTCCTTTCTTTGTTTCTCTCTCTCTTTCTCTTTCTTTCCTTTCTTTCTTCCTTTCTCTTTCTTTCTTTCTTTCTTTCTTTCTTTCTTTCTTTCTTTCTTTCTTTCTTTCTTTCTTTCTTTCCTTCCTTCCTTCCTTCCTTCCTTCCTTCCTTCCTTCCTTCCTTCCTTCCTTCCCTCTCTCTCTCTCTCTTTCTTTCTTTCCTTCTCTTCTCTGATGACTTCACCTTGAAAGGCATCAGTTAGGAAAGAGGGAAAAGGCATTTTTAGTCAAAAGCTAAGCTCCAATTAAATTCGTTGGGCAATGGAAACCTCTTCTGGAGGCTGTGCAGTAGAGTGTGACACTTCCTAATTTCATGACTTGGGCAGATTGCTTCATTTTCCTACTGTAAAAAAAGGAAAACGATAATAACAGGTAACGTTTGTTGAGCTCTTATGTGGAATAAGTATTTTATACACAGATCCGTTTCACCCTCTGAATCTAATGAGGTAGTATAATTGTTATCTCCATTTTATAGATGAATGGAGGCTCATTCAGATCACCCAGCTAGAAAATGGGGGAGACAGAATATAATTCTAGATCAGGGGTTAGCAATGACTGCCTGAGGGCCAAATTCAGCTCAGTATGTGTTTTTGTAAATAAAGTTTTATTGGAACCTAGACTTATTTGCTTATGTATGGCCTGTGGCTGCTTTTAAGCTACAATAACAGACACTGTATGACCAGTGAAACCCAAAATATTTACTCTTTACAAAAACCTTTACAGATTTTTTATCTAGATTATCCTAGCCCGTGCTCTTAATCTCACATATTTCCTGCTCCAAAAATACCTCTTTTTAAATATTTTTTTTCCTTGAGATAGTGTCTCCCTCTGCAGCCCAGGCCGGAGTGCAGTGGTGTGATCTCAGCTCACTGCAATCTCCATCTCCAAGGTTCAAGCCGTTCTTGTGCCTCAGC